TTTTTTTAAAGGCATGTGATTTTTTCAACTTTAAAAACTTAAAAAGTTTTCATCTTACAATACTGATCTTATTTTGAATTATTTTCTATTATTAATATTATTTTTATTTATCAGTCATTGAGTTAAAAAAGCAGGAAGGAATGTTTAGTTAATTGCACTGATTGATTAACAAAGTTTATTTTTCAGATTTTATTATAAATTATTTATATAGGATTAAAATGATTAATAAAACAATAATCCCACTTGAAATGTATAAGAAAAGTATCGAAATTCGATTAAATATACAATGAAGAATTTATTTTATTCACTAAAAAATAATTCTTTAATTAAAAAAAATTCCATCTAGGAATTCCACTCAGAAAATCTTTCTTTAGTATTAGGAGAGTGGGAGCTAGAAGGAGCTAAACTCTTGAGTTATTGCTCCTAGTAGAGAAGTGCTGACCCCTTGCGGCTGTTTATTGAACTATAAATTTAGCTAACTAAACAGTTAAGCTCCTTTGAGGTCCTACTCTCCTAATACCAAATAAAGATTTTCGGATTGGACTCGTTATTTCTTTTATTTTCTTAATCCGTTATAATTTAACCATTCCTTGGATGGTGCTGCACTCTGGTGAGAATTATTACTTAATATTTGTAAAAATATTTGTGCGTTATTAAAATTTGTATTGTAAACAGATAAAAATCTAATTCACGTAATTTTCAAATAATTTAAGTAAAAATATGATTTTATGAGTGAATTCAATAAAAAATATGTATAAACTTATATTATTATAATTCCATTACTGTTTTATCGTTTATATTACAAATTGAAACCAAAATTTTAGATAAATGTGTTTTTATTAACATAATTATAAATGAAGTATTTTTTTTTAAATATAAACGTTTTAAATTAATATTTTTACTGTGAAATAATTCATAGTATTTTCTAAATTCCATTTTCTTCCTTTAATCCCGTCTCGTAGGATTTAATTGTATAAATTAATTAATTTTAAATTATATAGCACTTGCTTATATTTATAATACTTGCCATGTATTTTAAATTATTATTAAAGTATTGTTTATTCGTAAGTATTTAAATTTATGATTACATAATTTCGTCATTAATTTAAAAGGAGGAGAAAGAAGGGTTTATTTAATTAATAATATAATGATCAACAAAATTTAGCTTTTAAATTTTTTGAATAATTTGCATGTTAGTACTTAAAATAATCAATAAAACAATAATAAATTCTATTAGAAGTTAATAAAATAGTAAGGAAAATCTATGAAATAGAGAAAAAAAACAATTTATTTTATTAAGTAAAATTAATAGCATTAAAAAAAGAAGCTCAACTGTTGTTCCATATTATTACAACCTTGGATGGTGCTGCTCTTGTGGCAGCTTTCTAAACTACAATTTTTTGACCATTCGTCACTAGAGTTATTACAAAATAAATGTTATTTACGTGATTTTGATATCGGAGACTTGAATTGAATGGTTTAAAAAGGCTTAACAATTTATATTTATAATAATTTACTGAACTTCATTTTCCTTTTCTTTATTTTCGGCCATTTTCGTTTCATTCGCCTCATCTTTAGGAGATTTTCCAACCATTGTTATATAATAAATAATATTCTATGATTTCATTAAATTTAATAATAACAAGAAATTTTATTTTTCTATAATCTCATAATTTACACATATGAAATATTGTTTTTATCCTCATAGTCTTCTGTTTTTAAATCCAAAGTTTGTTTTTGGTTGATAACAAACGGCGTTTTACATTCTTTGAATCGTATAAAATAATCAAAAAGTTGGTGTGATTAAGGCACCTACCCACAGAATCGTAATGTGGAGTGTAAACGCCCTAGATATTTTAGCTGATACCTCCTTACAAATCGATCTGTAGTCCAGAAGCGGGTTTCATGGTCCAACTTGCGCCATCAAAATTTTTGAGGGGGACATCATGTTTTGACGTTGTTTTTTTTAATTTTAGAGAGGGGCAAATTTCGACGGGTTTATTTATTTTCGGAGTAATAAACATGGAATATACCGCAGCAAGTATGATTGTATATGATCTACGATTTTTCTAATTCTACCTTAGCTTGCTCTGTTTTTAAGAAGAGATGAGGAATAAAATACCTAGGGAGAGTAGGTTCTTGCACCATCGACCTTGGGGAGGATGGGCACCTCTGTTGTAGGCTATTTTCTCATGTTTGCGAGTTACAACTTTTTCTACTGCATTTTATTTAGTCATTATTTGTATTTAGTTATTTCATCGCTTGGTAAGAATTTATATCCCAAGGAAATTGTGGCTCCTGTATAAAAAATCTAATACCACATGACAATTGAAGCCATTGGGAACTTTACACTTTCATCTTGGAGTTCAAATATTTATATCTTAGGAATCTCTATCCATTCTTCAAATCATCAAAATATATTTCCCTAGTGTCCCATTAACAGTTCGTTGGTGAAGAAATTCTCCATTTCCGAAATTACTTACTTTTTCTATTAATGATGACGAAATGAGCCAGTAAGTTTTATAAGGAATAACGGAGTCAGTTGTTAATATGAAAAAAGATTCTTCTGTGTAGTTTTATACTTACATTTTTCTTGGTTAGTAAACTGGAGGTTCTCCTTAATACTGAGCCAAGCCCGATTTAAATTAAATTTCGATTTAATGTTCTCCAGCTGATGCTTATTACCATTGTGTATGGTTATTTGAAATTCCATTTTCCTAATACTGTCATTTTCTAGGTATATTTGATTGGTATTTTTTTTTTAATGTTTAAATACACGCATTTAAGGATGCTGTATCAGACGTTTAGTTTTTATGGATAGAGTACTACCAATGGGTAGTTTCTCAACATGTGTTCCATGTCATATCCATGTGTGAATTTACCAGATGTATTTTTTGTATACAGTTGTAAATATCATATAAATAAATAAGTTTTTATGGAAGGTAATACTCTTATCCCCTGAAGGAGAAATCACATTACATGTTCTGATTTCCACAATAGCTCCAAATCCAAAAATCTTATTAGCTTCTCTTGCATGTGCTAATGTATTTTTCTTTATGCTTCGGAATTAATATAAACTGGTCTAGTATCAATTACAAAAAATGATTAATTTCTTTAAGTCTATTTTACTTACCTCTTGCATCCATTTCTAAATTTCAGACTGCAATTACTTCTTGGAATACTAAATTTTGCCTTCTCCATTTCAATATCCCTTTGAATTTTCGTAAAACGCAGTTCATCATGCAGAACTGGTGTTACAACCAAAAGAAAAATACTTACCTTCTTAATTGAGGACGGGATGGCCCAGTTGATTTCAGGATGCTGGGTTCTGAAGGTAGTGGATTCAATTTCCTGATAAATGAATCTTGGCATTCCCGCTCTAGCAACTTCAAGTAAGCTGTCAGGGGTTGGCAAAAGGAACCATGTGGCCATACAATTGCCTGAATAGTTTCCCCCACCAGCACCAGTACATACATTTTACCAGTAATACTACATTCTAAATTCAATTACTCCTAACCATCCTCCAAACATGAGATGCTAACCACAAACCTGTTTATTCTTCTTATAGAAATAAGTAATTATTAAATTTTCGTATTTTAGTGTTGTCAGCCTCATTTAAATGTTATCTATTTCACACATGTGCACATACTGATATTTATCCTTCACTTTGATTTCAAGGTAAAACTTCTTAATTTTACACCAGATAAATGACACTTCTATTAATCATTATATTATTCTTAGGTCCCAGATTAAAATTTTTGTTTCTTCTTCAAAATATAAAAATAAATTAAGAATACACCCTGGTTGGATTTACTCGAAATAATTAAATCATGAGTTGACAGCTAACAGTCTTTTATAGTCACTGTATTCATGCAAACAACAACCTAGTGAACTTTATTACAACTTCTGATGAAAAGCCAAGGAAAGTGAACTTCTTTAATTCAATTATTTATTTACATTTCTTTATCAAGTCACAAGGCCTTAGCTTTTCTTGTAGCAGAGTCTTTCTTATAACATCATTTCTACTTCTAGTGAATTACCTAGAAATTTACCATGTGGCAGACACTGTATAAATAAATAAAAACCCTATTTAGAACTTGATAAATATCTAACTTATAAGAAAAACAAGGATTGGTACTACTGTACTCATATGGATAATCAAATGACAGAATTATTAAGGACAATAAAATCTAATTTATTTCTTAAATCATATGCACATTTTCATATTACACGAAGTAGCACACATCAATGATAAAAAAATGTCTCCTATAAGATAGCATGTATTTCCTTTTAAAATTAAAAATCATCAATATAATTATTTTATTGTTAAACATTATAGAAGTCTCAACACTTTACCATATACACATAAATATATATATATCAATTTTTTGGTGCCATGTGAAGATCATTATCAGATAACAAAACTTCACTCTTAATTCGTATAACATTTTTTTAGCTTTGATAATTATTACAAAAAATAAAAACATTTAGACAAGTAGCTAGAATTTATATTTGATATACATTCATAACCTTCTTCATTTTTTTTTTTAATTTTTATATTTTTCGAATATGTAATCCCCAAATAAAAAAATCTACATCAGTGATTTATCTTAAAACTAGAATGATCTAAGAAATTTACAAAAACAAAAGGAGAAAAAAAATCATGAATCATATTCAAGTCTCGATAGTAGTACAAATGTACCATCAATGGCGGAATAGAGGAATTAACAGTTTAAATAAATAGAACAGAGAATTTTAGTTTGATTTTTTTTTTTTTTTTTTTTTTTTTTTTTTACAAAGGATTTACAAAGATATAATTTCAAAAACTAGATTATATTTAAATAACGTACATTCAAATTAAAATTTCTTTGGAAGTGTGAAGAAAAAAAATGTGATAAAGAAATCCATTCAAAAAAAATTTTGTGAGGCGTAAAGAAGGAACTATTATTATATAAAAAATATATAGAAACAATGTATATGATTATGATGGATGAAGTCGTTCAGTTGCGCCTGTAGGGATGGTAAGGCTGCGGAGTTGAGTTGTAAGGAGCGGGTCGCTGAGGTCCTCCTGCGTAGCTGCCGTCACCACCTGCGTGCGGAGGAGACATTGTCAGATAGGGCAGGACCGAACCCGTCACCATGCAAGGCGGGTGCTCCGTCATGCGGCAATCCACCTTCACCACCTCTGCTGGTGGCAAGGAACAGGCCAGGATCATGGAAGGGGATCACAGGGTTAGGTTATTCACAGGTGTACAGTAATGGAATAAGCCATCCACGTTTTGATTTGAACACAGTGCCAGCTTTTATAAAATTTGAATTCTAAATGTCTGGTGGAGATATTAGCAGTGAGGAAAAATCCACAAAGCTTTGAAAAGTAACAATCTTTCCAAACCAAATAAGTTTTTAGATATCTACAGACAGTGAGCTTCTAAATCATGTGATCTATCACTGTCATTCTAAACAATGCGGATATAAAAACCAACATAACTTCAATAAAATTATTCCAACATAACAGCAAATATCCTACACAATGCCGATAATGATCATTTTATGATTTGAAGCTAATCAAATGTAACACAACGGCGCAGACAGTGGGCTAGACATGCAGACTGCAGTAGAACATGAAAAAAGGGACTCTATGAGCCGGTACAATCATAATGCTAGCTAGAACAGTTGGCACAATAAGAGGACATGGAAAAACCAGCAGAGATGCTAACACTAAATACTCATCAACATATACATCAGGTGCAGTGCCTTCATGTGTAACTCAAGATTCGTTCACCTACCTCATCACTTCAACCGAATCCACATCATAGCCTTAGATGTACCACCAAATTCATTATTAACTCATTAATAGCTATGCAAATGACCTGGCAGACACCTCCACACAAAAGCAACAGTATATTCGTTCTTTTTATTTTTCTATTAATTAAAATATTCTGTTGATTTGATTTTGATCAATTATTAAATTAACAACCTTTCTGAGACAAAGTAGCATCCCTCCTACTCTGGAATCAGGAAAAAAACTGATGCACTCACCAATCATTGCATAGCAAAAGTTCAATAATTCAGTCACATATACAATATATGTACCCCCAGAAATATACACAATATTACACGAAAACATATAAAAAAGTGTTGATAAAAAAGTTTTCTGAATGAAACGGTAAATTGCTGCCATGTAGACCTTTTAATAAACTAAAATGAGACAACAGTAAAATTAAAGTTTGTATTTAAAACCTAATTCATACCAACACATACAAATACCACAAAATAATTGTTAAACTAAATATTATCAATGTTAATCTTCATTTGAAAAAGAAAAAAAAAAAGCTGTCTTCAGTTACACTAAGCTGAGGTCAGATATTATTAAATACAACAGACAATCTAATGATAAATAACTATAAGGGACATTTACATGGTGTCAGGAAACGATTGACTAACAGATGAAACTAATTGGAACATATTTTAACTTAACATTTTCTCTAAAAACTCTGTAACAACAAACTAACAGATTTATCGTTAATAGCCAATATAGGTGTTGAGATAAAAATACTGTATTTTTTATACATCATATCCATATTTTTATATAATTAATCCATAATATTTAAGCTGAGAATATTTTAGATATTCTCTCAAAAATCAACATAAAAGAAGCCTTCCTCACACAAAGACCCAACACAACAATCCTACTATCCTTTTTCGATTTCTCCAGCATAGTTTCACAATAAAACAATAAATATACTGAGTATTATTGACACAAATTATGTTTTTCAATTGTTATATATTATATGATAAGTCATTATTTCTACCGGAAACATTTTCTGAAGTAAATTCTGTAACTTTTTCAGAAACCAATTTTGGAATGTTTACATACCCACAAATAAACTGGCACTGGTGTTTTGACCAAATCAAAACAAATTTGTTTTTATTAAAGGAATTAGACAAGTGAACAAGGAAATGGTGATATAAGAGGTTAATGGTTTTATACAACTTTACTACCGTGTGTTAGTACACTATTTTAGAGTTGATTCATCAAACTGTACATGCGATTCATGCAGTTGTTAATAAATACAAACATTAATTTACCCCCAATTACCCTCACCCTTTATAAATATAGGGTTAAAAAAAAACTACATCAAAATAATGATGTTATTGTTAAATCATAGAAATAAATAATATTACCAAGGTCAATAATAGTTTTCAAAGAATTTAAAAAAGTTTCAAAAAAAAAGAAAAAGAAGATAACCAATAAATAAATTTGAAACAAACTTAAACATTATAACTGTCATGCACTGCAAAACATTAAACAGATTTATATCATGTTATTAGATCATTGTAAATTCATTTAAAATTTCAGATATATTTTTGAATAGATGATTCATCATATACTTAAGAAAAATAAGAACATCTAATGATTTATTTTCTCAGAGCTCAGTTGTCATGAGTCAACATCCTCCCAGTCTGTAAGAGGCGGATAAAAACACTAAGAGGCCCTAAACGATTTGAAACGATCTTGGTTTAAAGATCAAGGAAATTACTGTAACCATAAAAAAAGAGAAGAAATCTAAAAATAAGTTACGTTCATGGCCCCTTTTTTGTCCTAAACACTAAGGTCCTCTTTAGTCTTGAACTGCTCCTGAAGCTTGTTATAATTAATGACTGGTACTACTACTAAAAAATAAAAATAAGTATCCGGATTAATGAATGAACTTTAAAATTATCGGGTACAGCGACACCAGTTCGAATCCAGATCCAGCCTGGTTTGAAGTAATTTTTTAGAGAACACACAAAATGAATCTTGAGCTACCTAACCTGGACAGAATAATTCAGCTGTTCCTCAAGGATCCCATAAGCTAGAAGAAGCAAAGTGGAAGTAATCACGAGGAAAAAAAAAAAATGAAATAACTCGTTAACATGACAAGACTTTATTAATAGCCCATTTTTATGTAAAGGCTTTAGAATTCAAACAACAGGGAAGAGTATAACAATAACCATCTTGAGATACAGGAAGAAAGAATAAGATTTAAATTTTAACATGGTTTTAAAATTTATTTTTCTCTTAACAGAAAATTAATTGCTTCTATCAAGCTGTGATATATAGTTTAACAAAACTTCCTGTCATAAATCAAATTAATGCAATAATGAACACTTATGCCCTCGAAGAATACTACATTATCGAACAAAATACTACAAGAGCTTAATAAGATTCCTTAAAAGCAAAAGAAATGTTAAAAAATAATTCAGAAAGCACATCAGATTAAAATATGAACTACTTGTTATGAACTCTCCATATTAAAATAATTAGTGCTGTGCAATGCAGATCAGTTATAATGAATATAAAACCATTTTTATCTTTAATCCACTCATCAATCATGAGAATATTAATCTTATATTAAAAAAAAAAGATGAAAAATAGTTACCTTAATGAAGAAAAATTAATTTTGTATTGTTTGGGCAATCCTACATATCAAAATAAACTATTTTTATATGGTACAAATGCAGAGCATTACTGACATACAAATTGATCAAGAAAATATAAAGCAAATTTATTCTAAATATCATTAGAATAATCGTTAAGAAGAAAAAACAAAACCATACTATGATAAAAATTATTCAATTTCATTTAAGAAAAAGTGTAATCATTATCTATTATTCTTGAAGTAATCGTTGAAACAACTGCTATTAATTTTTGGAATTGTAAAAAGACTACAATTTTTTGTTTCTTCTCTTTAAATTCTGTCGTTTGAAAGGTATGTGCAAAGCAATAATGTAACAAAAGGCAGTAGTTGACCCTTAAGAGTGAACTACACACCAATTTCTCAGTTATTTGTAAATAAATCAACAATGATAATAATATAAATATATATATATATATATATATATATATATATATATAAAACGACAAATTAGTTTTCAATAAAATGAGTAGGATTACCCAGCCAATAACTAGAAGGATGACCATCTCGTCGACTTAATATTTATTGCCTACCTTATTGTCAGCCAGGTATACATTTAATCTTCGTCTCAGTCATGAGCAACATTATTTTAAAAATATTATTTATTAAAGTGGAAATTATATCAAAAGTGGATTTGAACTGAAGAGCATAATTATATAAGTAAAAAGTAAAGGTTTCTTATTAAAATTTGAGTTATTCAAAATCTGTTTTAGATTTTTATCAATTATTTTGTTTTATTATTCTGATTCAAAATAAAACAATTTAATCTTTTTATTGTTTCTCTTTTTGTTTTGTTTTTTGTCCCCTCCCCATTGATGACAAAAATTTGTTCACACTATTATTAATAAGTATAAAAGGAATGGAATAAAGGATCATAGCAACACTGCAAGTACTTGCTGATGATTTCAACAAACCTGCCACTTGTTATTCAAAGTATTAACTATTTTTGGACAAAAAGACAAACAAAAATTTTTAAAACAAACAAATAAATAAATAAAAAATAAAAACCATGATTACTTCAACTTGTCCAGAAGGGAAAATTAGAACCAGTCAAATTAAACAAGGCACGAGTACTCGCAATGTTGCAAGAGTTGGGCAAGGTTTAAACAATAGACACACTTAAGACTTGCGTGTTCTCTCATCGCTATTTATATTGCGCTCAGCATCATTAACACAATAATACATCGTCTAATAGGAATTTTCTTACGTTTTAAAAGCATCACGGACTTGAACAATGCCAAGTAAATATTTATAGAAAAAATACAAAATAAAACTCTCAGAATAAAAACAGGCAAAACAAACATTAAATAACCATAATCAATCAATAATAAAAATAGCAGTTTAAAATTACATAATAACTCCTCCAATAATTGTTATCTTACATTGTACTCTTGTCCAGTCAGATATAGTCTAAACCTAAATATTTATATTAAGCCTGGATAAACCTATTTAAAATTTAATTATGATTACTTGTATAAATTATTATGATTACTTATTTTAACCATTAAAATTTAAAAGTGTAATCCTATGATAAAAATTTGTACAATTACTGTCAGAACAATTAACAAAGTTCGTACTAATTAATATTCTATCTTTATATTTTACTTATTGCTCCTTATATAAAAACAATGGCCTCTTAAAATTAATGACTGTTCACTTATTATCATTATTATTAAAAATACAGAGGGAAGGAAGGATACTAAGGGGAAGGGGGAACGGGTTTTAACATTCAGGGACAAGTTAAAGTAACCACAATTTCATTAAATATACTTAATTACCATTTGTTTTACCTTAAGAAATTTCCTATTACCTGTATGTACAATCAGTCGATGGATCTTTAAAACTAAGCGATTTAAAAGACACTTTTGCTTGTCCTTTTTTTTTTTTTCTTTTTTTAATATGTAATATTAGTACATTTATAATAATAATAAGGACATTTACTTTTTACTATATATGTTAATTTAAATAGACAAATAATTACGCCCTAATCTCACTTAAAAAAGACCTATAGGTCTGAGATAACACATGGCTGGCTTGTGTCAATCATGAAGAGGGCCATTCCTTAAATTCATAAGGCTTGTTGTACCCACCTCCGGTTGCTTGGGCGCCACCATCAGGACCTGCGTAGCTCCTTCCACCACCGCCATAACTTGTCGAATCCTAGACACACAACCGACAAATATTCTCCTCAATGCCATTGATTCAAGTTAATTTTGATTATTATTAGTAAATAAAAACTTTTTTTTTTTTTTTTTTTTTTTTTTTTTTTATAAATATAGCAAGAATTGTTCCGTGATAGCTATAAATAAGACTTCAGTTAATCTTAAAATTCTACATATTTATTTACTTAACTTAAATTTTCATTTAATCAATGAGGATGTCATAAATGCTACTATTGAAAGGAATAAAATTTAAAAAAATAAATAAATAAAATTAAACTTAATATACAAAAGCTTTTGCTGCCAGTAGTATCAAAGTTCTAAATTTAAAAAATAAATAAATTATCAGGCATAGGGAGTTTCATGAATTAAAGCCGCAAGTGGAATTACTTTTGCTATGTATATAGGCTAACATTAAATAACAGCAAGTTTCTTTAAAAATATAGATAAATACTAGAAAAGTGTAATTTATTTACCTTTTTCCAACATAGTATATCAACATATGGGTTTATCAGAAGCTATTCAGAAATTATATCATCCACCAATCTTTAAGATTTATTTTCAACTGAAATCTAACCCTCTGCTTATTAAAATAACATTTGTTTTTTAATGATTAAATATTTAGCTATTAATTTGGTTATATTCAGGATTGTGTAAAATACTGATCGTTCAATCAAATAACATAAATAAAAAACAATTAAATCCTGAGATTCATAAAATTTTATTTTTACTTCATCATAAGAAGATTGATAAAAACATTGCTTTTGAGACTAAGGAATTTGATCTATAGATCTTTATGACCTTAAAACACCTTAGACTTACTCATTACGAACAATATTGACTTATTTTATAAAAGTCTATTACCTAATATATTGAAAGGAAACTTTAATAAAATTAGAATTAAAACTAGACCATTTTGTGTCTTGAGTTTAAAATCTTTTAATTAGCATTATCCGCTTCTTAAATGAAATTAGTAATAAAAAAAATTGTATTCATTCTTAAGCAATTTTAAGGGCAATAAAATTATATCAGTGATCATCATTGATGACAAAGTTAAATTTAATTAAATAACTATTAAGACTAAATTAATAAGAACTTAATCTTAAAATGTGGCTAATGCTATAGGAATCTGGGATCAGGAGAACAAGAGATAGTCTTCCACTTACAATTTTTATTTACATTACGAGTGCGTCTATATTTCATATAGCACTTAATAATAATAAATAATTTCAATATATTTAATAGCAAAACAATATAGTATACTGTAAATTTAACAATTTAAATAACTGGAGGAGAAAATCATTAAAATAAAAAAATATAATTGAAAACTATTTAACTAATAAGGGTTCGTAAAACTTAAAATAATTAATAAACAGAAAAGTGTTAAAATATTAATCTTCTCAGTATCTCTCTAAGGACTTACATCAAAGATGAAGTCGTACCAAAATTATTCATCAAATCAGGTCATTGATTAAAAAAGAGAATACTTTATTCAAAGGGAAAAAAAGATAAATCTATGGCTTGACTTTTTCCTTTTTTACAATCATATCAAACAAAGGATTCACAAATCAGGTATTTTTAAGTTTCTCAGTAAATGAAAGAATTATAAAAAGAAATAAAAAGCTGGTACTGGCCCTCAAACTGTATTTTCTTGTCCTGTGATCATCTGGATTTACATTCGTCATCCTCAGTCTGGGGTTCTTAGGTACAATGCTTCGGCTGCTCACTAATCATCCACCTTAATTACATGCATTAGCTGTTTGATGCTTTTAATTCGCACAAAATAAGAAGCTCAAAGATTATATCCTGTGCCGTAGATCTCTGTTTCATAATATTTTACCGAAGGCTTTCTTTCCTCTATCAGACCCATAATACGTTACAAGATTTTTCTCTAAAATACATAGATTTTTTTTCAATCGAGCTTTCCTGTAAGATTAGGTTTTATAGACGTTATTATAGCGAGAAACTTGGATAATTAGAAATTTAAACAATTGAACAACTTGAGATATACTGAAACATGAACTTTTGTGAAAAAGCTCCACTGTTTTCACAATTCTTTCAAATTCAATTCCTTGAAACATGAACTTGAAAGATTTTCAAACTGCCCCTATCATCAGGATATCGAAGCAGTTGTCATTTTATCGATGGTAATTGATAGATTAAGCTCAGCGGCTCTTTTCACAACGCACTACAACTCACTTACTTACTTAGTGGTTAACTTACAGCCTGAAGTGGGCAGTGGCTTCTTTGACAACACTTCTTGATTCTTGTTTCTCTGTCTCAGGCTCTCTCCCTCCACCTCATTACTCCCAGTCCTGACAGGTCTTCCTCTATGCCCCGAATCCATTGCGTGTGTTGTCGCCCAACAACACTACAACTTGGAGGGCAATATTGAAAAGAAGTGGTACGATTGAATCTTAACTTCATAGTTAAAAAAAGTTAGCTCAAATTTCAATCGATTTTAATCCTACTGAAATTTTCAATGCTGTAGGTTGTAATAACTTGGATGGGATGCTCAGCCCTTCCACAGCTAAGAAGAGTACTTTTCAGATTATAGAATCATAATCAAATCAATAATTTGAAATAGACAGAAAGGATTTACACGATCTTGTTGATTTTGTTTTTGAGTTTTCCAGTATTTGTCTTAAAGAAAAAATCTGTTCTAAAATGCACCTTTAATCTTCATTGCTAATCCCTCAACTTTGGTTCTACATATTTTACTAACTGGTCATTTGAGGGAATAGAATGCTTTTTGAGTGTTAATCAGAAGACTTATTCCCGTAATTGCTGCAGTTAATAATTAATGTATCTTTTCAACTAGAAAACTGCCGTGAGATTCTTTTCAGATATCAGGTATTTCCTCAAATCTTCAAATATTGGCAATTGGATCAATCAATTCTTTAACCACTGCATAACTGTCGACTTCAGAATCAGAAAGTTTATTACATTAATTTTTGTGGTATGTTTATTGCTTTGATTTTTCCATCTGTACCTGGCACCTTCAAGCTTCATCATGTCTTTATATCATGAGCTATAGACAGATTAGTTACTGTAAGCCAGGAGTCCCTTAACTTTTTGGCTTACAGGCCACATTACGTGAATAACGATAAAAATATTAATCTATAGAAAGGTCATTTATTATAATCTACTATTGGAAAATATTTTCCAAATAAACAGATCCGGTTGTTAAGGTAGCTATTTCAGCTATCATACATTTAATTTTATTCATTTTCTTGTAAGTCGATTTGATAAATACAATTATAATAAATAAATAAAAATTGAAGAATGTGATATTGATTATACAATTTCAACATTTATAATTACAGACTTTTTAAAGAATTATAATGGTAATGACTGATTACGATTAAGATTATGTAAGAAATTAAGCAGTTTTCAACAGGTAGTGAGAACTAGCTAAATTTAAAAAAAAATTCTTGATATATTTAACAGTTATTTTCAGAGCATATAATGATTTACAAACATTTATTACATTTAAGTAAAGAAAATAACTTTAAAGTGACCATAATAACAAAAAAAGTGAATAGCATAACACAAAAAACTGGCATATAGAGGCTACAATATTGTTAATAATGATAAAAACATTAATATATACAAAGGTCATTTATTGAAGTAATAGTGGAACAGAGATATTTGCCTATGTCTACTATCGGAAACTATTTTCCAAATATAACAGATCCGGTTGTTAAAGTAGCTTTTTCAGCTAACATACATTTAGTTTTATTCATTTTCTTGCAAGCCGATTAGATAATTACAATTATAATAAAAATATAAAAAATAAATAAAAATTAAAGAATGTGATTTTTATTATACAATGATAACATTTTTAATTACAGATTTCTTTAAGAATTTTAATTGTAATAATTGATTACGATTAAGATTATCTAAGACATTAAGCAGTTTTTAACAGATTGTGTGAACTGGCTTAATTTAAAAAAAAAATATTGCTATATTTAACAGTTATTTTCTGGGTATATAATGATACAAACATTTATTACATCATTTAAGTAAAGAAAATAATTTCAAAGTGAACCATAATAACCTAAGAATTAACTTAAAACCGCATAATTTAAATATCTTAAAAATATATTTAGTAGAATCTCAATAATTTATTTATAATGTCAAGGGTTTGAGAATATTAAATACCAATTCAACAATTCTGATTATAAAATAAAAATATACTAGGCTTAGAGAAATTGATCTTTCTTTCCAATAATGTATACAATACATTTCCAATGGAAATGCCTAGTTTATCTCAATTTAATTTTAGATAGTACAATTTTAAAAACAATATAACCAACAATTAATGGCTTAAATTAAAAGTCTTTATTACCCCCATTTTTTCCACAAAACTTTTATCCTTTTCCTTAATTTGATGGCAGATAGATAATTTTAAAAGTTTGTCTTTCGAAAAGTTTATAATCGTTTAATAGAGGGACATTATACACGTTTGGATACATCAAATTGTTATTCAGCACTGGACACAGCTTTTATATGATTTCTTTGATGAAAGGAGACTTGTTATATCTAAGAGACAATGCGTAAAACAAACATTACAATCGAAGAACAGAAAGCACAAAATTAGGAGAAAAAAAAAAAATTGTTAACAAACTGAAATTCAATAAACCAACTCTCATGCACTCACTCTCCTATTCCCTTAAAAACATTAAGAGACAACTAGATTTCTTATATAGAAATTCAAATTATAAGACGCTCATATTACTTGAAAAATTAAAATATATACGAAATATGAAGTGGGGACATGCTTTTATATAGATTATGGGGAGAATTTCCAGGGATCAGCAAATTAGTATGAATTATCAGAATATTTAAATTATTGGTATTGGCTGTTTATATATATATATAAAATTTGGAGGGAGGAGAATTGCCCAACAACCAGCTGATAAACCAAAAATCACAAGTTCAAATCCAGGGACATAATTCCTCCACCCTCTTCTCTGGCCCAGGAAAAATAGCGTATCGCCTAAAAGATGAGGAAGGGGAGAAAATATAGAAAAAAAATTATTGTATATATTAAAAAAAAAAAAAGTCCATAAGCAAACTCAAAGGACCAACTATTTTTTTTTACTTATTGGTAACACGACATATGTATAAACTTTAATACCGATAAATTTTTACCTAATAAATCAATTAGTCAACTTTGATACTGCTGGAAGTAAAAGATTGTGTTTAAAATTAACGTTTTCATATGTAAATGGATGTATATGAAATACGACACCTATAAATAGTGATGAAGACTTCAGAATTTTCAAACTGGCCTTATACAGAAAATTTTTTTTAAGAGATCGGATTGAAGGTCTCTCAATTTGATTGTATTATTTATAAAAAATGTCATAAGATTAAGGAAATTTGGGGTACAAGTTTGTCTGAAAACTACATTATTATGAAGAAAAAAAAAAATAATAAAGAGAAAAAAGGGCCAGTTTGAAAATGTATTGATAAATATACAATATTATATTAATAAAAAAAAAAATCTAGCATACCTGTTGGTAGCCTGTGTATCCACCATACCCGGTGTAGTCAGTTGACTTAGGCGGCGCTGCAGCTCCAGGTGGCGTAGGACCCGAGGGGCCGCCGCCAGCACCACCACCGCCCCGTGAGTAGATGTCTCCTGCAACATCAATTGTTCAAAGTAAATTAGATAATGGCAGTCAATTACTGAAGTAAATTTCAATATTTTAACAATGGGCTCACATCATTTTAAAGCAAATTTGGAAAGGTTAGAGGGTAGTTTGAAAATCTTTGAATTGTCTGAAATAGGGAAAATCTCTGATTACTCTTAAAATAAGATATTCAGTGTATTCATGCAACTTGTGATAAATGTTTAATGTGTTACTATGCTAAGCGGTAGCACAAATTAAAAAAATGAATGACAGATGACTCTTGTGAGCTAACCTGCAAAAGTGTTATTGGTTATAGTAAGGTTATGACCAGTATTGCCATTTGCACGAGGATCCTTGTATTTGTACGTAATCAAGTATTGTACGAGGTACCAACCTCGTACCTCATAAATGATAACTTTGCATACGTCAGCTAAAATCATTTATGAGGTACGAGGTTGGTACCTCGTACCTCATAAATGATTTTAGCTGACGTATGCAAAGTTATATTTTAATGAATGAAGTTTACATTTATTTTACAATTATTCTTACTGTTTTATTTATTAATTATATTTATATTAATATGTAAGATTTAACTTCTGTTACTTTTTAGACAAATAAATTGTATTATATACTTTAATTAGAGTACGATTATAATTATCTTCATAAAACTGTGATTATGTGTATACCTTTTTTTTTTTTTTTTTTTTATCAGAGAACAAAATTTAAAAAATAAATTGTTACCGTAATATTTAAAAAAAATATTTTAGATTTTTATCTAGTATAAAATATAAGAAAGTATATCCATTATCTCTTTCATAAACCTAAGATTGTTACATAGTTCATTTGTATTGTATATTTAAATAAGAAAGATGAATAAAAATTAATATTTATTATTTTAAATTATATGTTACCTAGTTTCGAACTTCGATGAAGTCATAATAATGTGTTTATTTTCAATAATGATAGGAATATTGTATCCTTTAAAAAGTTGATTTTGCTATTTTAATTTTTATGGCAAGTTTTTCAATGGTTTCTAAAAATATATGCTCTTCTTTATGCATTTAATTTAATTCATATTTCTTGACCCATTAACTTAAAAAAAAAAAAAAATAATGTAAAAAGGCTTCAAACTATATGATTGTAGGTAATAAGCAAAGCTCTGATCTAATTTAACTTTTTAAAAAACAATAACATTGGGTCTAACGAGCAAGCGTACAAGGATGTATGAGATTTGAAGCCCGAGGATTTACCATAGAGTGCACAGCAACATTGCTTATGACTGTTATTATACAAGGAACTAAACAAGACATTTATGAATATTCTCTGTGCATTTATGAAATTAGCATCATTTTACAGGACCCTGAATGCATTAAAATCAAGCGTGCTAGCAGCCATTTCATAAATAAGTTTATTAACTTTAACAACACTTAGCATATATTGCATGAATACCACTATTATAATTTTTTTTGGTCAACATCATTATATGCAAGAAAATTCCTTTAAGGAATGAAATACATTGCAAAGTATGTCTTCTCTTTTTACTTTCCTTTCATATTGAGACAATTTGAATTTCTATTTTAAATATTTATGGTCTTTGAAAATAAAATGTACACCAGACAGATCCTTCTCAATTGAATTTAATGTTAAAATATTGCTTCAATTATAAATCTCCTCCGAGGAGAAAAAAACCATGTAGAAATTAAAATTAAAAAAATTAATTTTTAAACATGGCCGAAACACTGAAAGTTGCTAAGACTATGCCTTAGCACAGTCAGCCTTCATGCTCTTAAATAGCTATCCTAAAGTTAAAATTGAAGTAAGATATTAAAGTTGATAACTCATGACGATTCGCAGATTTAATTGTGAATTCCTGGATTTTTTTTCTAATAAAATTGTCAATTAATAAAAATGAAATGTTTTATTCCACTATTTCTATTTTATTTTTCTACACTGGCAAGAGTGAAATAAATACAGCGAAAACCTTTCGTTATAAAAAACATAATTTAACCTTAACAAAAAATATATATCACTTGTCAATTATTTATTCAAGTTTTTTAAATAATGAGGACTTAGTTTGTTTTAAACCACTAGCAAATATTTCAACCCAAGTATATGGGTCATGATAAGGAGAATAGTTACCGTCAAGTGTAGTATGAAAACTGAAGATCCTCATTATTTATCATCCCAAGTTTTTTATACTATTTTTAAGACTCGAGATGTTTTATTCTTCTTGCTCTTAGAGCTTTGGGATCAAGTAAAACAATAGATGTAGTTTTACAACTAGAATCGATAAAGCCTATGAGGGTGGTCCAGAAAGTAAATTATATTGCGGCCTAGCTTGTTTTTAAAGTGAATCTGAAGCTTACGTGGTACAGAACCATTTTTATCAAATCATTAACATGCGCCTGAAAATTCGTAAATAGCTTCATCTTATCGTAACCTACAACTGTTTTATTTACAAGAACTCTTGGAATTGGGGCGTTTTCAATCTGGAGGTCGGCAAGCTATTGTCTATTTAATTAGGAACTAAAAAATCATAAATATCCAATTGCTTTCCACTTAAATCTTAGGATAATTTGGGCATGAAATTTAGAAAAAAATTGACCTCAAATAGCCAAAATAATGAGGTAATATAGGACAAACGGTGCGATATTTTTGTATGACCCTCTTTTTATTGACTTTGTGCTCATAATATCATACGATTCAAGTGGAAAGCAAATGGATATTTACGAGTTTTAGTACCTAATTAAATAAACAAAGTTTGCAGAATACTGGATTAGAAAACGCCCTTAATTCCAAGAGTTTTCGAAAATTAAATATTTGTAGGTTACGATGAGATCCAAGCTATTCAAGAAGTTTCAGATGGATGTTAATAATTTGATGACAAGGGGTCTATAATACAGAGTAATATAAAAAGGGTTAGAAGATTGGACAGTGATCTAACGAAATTTTACCAGAACAGGGTTTTCGAAATAGGACGGAGAGGGAGGTATGGTTGTGGATGTAAGAGCATTAGTAATTTGAAATTTTTACGTTAGAAAAAATAAAATTAACTACCTTGTGGGCCGGGCGGTCCTTGACCAGGACCACCTTGGGTCGCGGGGCCGTTTTGTGGAACATTCCAGTTCCAGCTGTTGCCGTAGCCTGCTTGGTTGGAACCTTTAACAAATTAAACAACAAAACAGTAAGAATAAGTTATGCTTTAGAATTTATTTAAATTTGTTAATGTAAAACACGATGCTTGACATTCAACAAATTAAAAATTTGATCTAGCAAAATTTAAATAGCTCAAGACTTCACTTATAGAAAGGTTCAAGACTGTTGCCGTAAACGCGGGCGAAAGGTCGTTATTTATTTTAAGTTAAGCTCTTTTCTACTTTAAGCACACCATTAAATTTCTTTTATTGTTTTGTTGATTTAATAGTTAAGAACCGTTACTTTAAACCTGTTAAGGGACTTGGTACTACAAACATTGTTTAAATCTGTGTTTTATTCACATAAACGTATATATAATGACGTATACAAGATTAATGAATAGCTGCGTAAGATTTGTTATTGGTACCCTGAGGTACTCCCATGTCTCCCACCACTACACTGAGTTAAGGTGGCTCTTCCCCTCCTTTAGAAGACAATATTTCCTAGGTACGTTCCTCTATCAAATCATTAACAACCATCGTCCTTCTTACGCCTACATCCCTTCTCACAGATCTGCCTCATTTCAAAATTCCTTTATAGCTCGCGCTGCCAATTTCTGGAATTCTCTACCTATCATAATTCGGCATTCCCCCTTCATGTCCACATTCAAATCCCTCCTATTCCAAAAAACAGTCAGATACTTGCTAAACTTTTGATATTATACATTTCTAGTCATCATCAAACAATAGTACTATTCTATACTGTGAACTTCACTAGGGATATTACAATATCTTCCTGCTCTGAATGCCACTGACCGCATTTATTGTTTTATTATTATTATTTATTCGTATATAATTCAATCTGTACCTATAGCTAGCATTTGACAATGATGAGCCTACATATTATTCATTATTTAAATACACTGACATTTTATATTTGTCAGCTTTGTCTTTGCTTTGTTAGTAGAAACACACCTCATTTTAAAGAAGAACTCAATGTATTTTTTATTATTTTATTTTTCAAAAGAGTATAATTATAATTATTCCTACTGTACATAGTCTTAAGTGTTTTATCATAGTTTTTAAGTGTTTTGTATATAGCTTGTTTAACTAATATTTTCTTTACTTTCTCTTTTTTATTATTGTTTTATTTTGGCCAGATGTAGTATTTTAATTATGTTCTATTTTGTTATTCTAAAGGGACTTTGTCCCAGAATAAAGTTATTTTCTATTTCTATAAATTCATATAAACTTATGAAACCCAGAAATGAATTTAAAACAACTAAGTGCCGCTTTAGGAAGTGACAAGAAAGTTATTATGACTTTACAGCGGTATGGTTCATTATTCAAAACAAGGTTGTCAATTTGTTTTATAGAAGACAGAGGTCTTAAGTGGAGGTGCACAAAAATAAGTTGTGTTTTCTGCGAATTTATAAAGGAACGTGATTAAAAAATAAAATGGCCGATTACCTTTAACAAGGCTATTTTAATAATTTATTGTTGGACTACAAAATTCTGTGAGAAAGAATTCGAAATGTCAGGGATCAGTATCACCGATTGGAAAAATTACCTACGAGAAGTTTGTGCCAGTGACATATTGGCTAAACCGGTATATATATAGGAGGCGAAGCCCTTCATGTTGAGATTGACAAGACGCGTTCCTCAAGAAGGAAATAAAAAGTTGGAAGGGTATTCCATCCCCTCAGTATAGGGTCTTCGGTGGTATATGGAGGGAACCCGATGAGGTATTCGTACACACCGTTCCTGATAGAACTGCTGCAAACTTGACTGAAGGTATAAAAGCATCTATAAAACAGAGTACAAGAATACCTTCGATTTATGGAAATTGTAATCCGGAATACAGAAAATTCCAGGTTTTGAATATAAACAAATCGCTGTTAACCATTCCCAAAGTTTGTAGATCCGGTTTCAGGCACAAACATGCAAAAATTAGTATAAAGCAGAAAAGAGCCTAAGTTAATTTCTAATCTTTGAACACGGCCAAATTCAGGGATCTTTCGCGATAAACATTTACTGCTATATCACTCGGAAATGGGTTGTCAGATTGTGTTTGAAGCGCACTGTATTAACATTGATACAAGTTATGTACGACTATATTCCATGAAATAAGTCAAATGGTTATTCCAGACTGATTTTGGACCTTCTAGTGGGTCTTTTTGGATTACAAGGAGAAAAATACTTCTCTAAGAAATACAATTAATTTAATTACTTTCATTACAAGAAATGACTTTCTCAATCAATAATCATAAAAAAACTTCTCTTCTCTGCCTATCACATTCTATGGTTCAACCACTTCTTCGGCTTTTGTGATTGTTCTACTAAGGTTCTCAAGCTCAATGAAAATTACTGGGATTGTTATTCACAATGCTCCATTCAATGATATTTATTTATATATTTTTTTTTCATGTAGAATAACTATGATTACTAATAACCTTTATTTACGTATTAAAAATAACAAGTAGTAACATATGATCTCCAAAGCTTACGGAAACCTCCCAGAAACTAAAACCCAGTATAGCTAAAAAAAAAAAATCAACTAAATCAAGCTATTGTGGCAGCATATCACTTAAATGTTCTAATTGCAAATCTATTCATATTTGCGCTTACTATAAGGTCTATAAAGCTTATTATTTGTTAATGAGTGGAAAACTGTCTATTAATGGTACATTTAAACATAAATGAACTTTATTAATAACCACATTTTCTCTAAATAAAAAAAAAAACAGGGAATGGAGTATTGTAAAAAAAAGATCCATATATTGTACAATTAATCATTGTCTAATGGGTCTGAACGCACTACCCTAGCCTTTTTCAAATCCTCCTTCCTCTTAAACATTAAAATAGGGAAAAAATTGATTTCCCAGCTGTGCGGCAACTCTGTTAAGATGCCTTCAGTGACGATTGATCTCATTCAGGAGTCGAAGTCATAAAATAAAAAATATGATGAATAACTCTAGAATTTGTAGAGGTAAAGTCCAAGATGGGGAGGGATTTTAAAGTTTATTTAAGATTACTCTAATTTCTCTGACTTATATTCACTAAAAAAAAATAAATCTATTTGCCAAATTGGGATGTTTTTGTGACTATTAATGTATTCATTAAATCTGAAGGTTGTTTGGTAATATAATGAAAATTTATTCCAAGAACAGTACTTTTCTGTCTTGCCTGGACAATACGTCTCTCCTCTGTATTTAAATAAAAATCGAATATCTGATATAAAATAGATGTAACTGTGTGATACTAATATGCCAACGACATTATAAAGGCTATGTTAATGGATTGAAGGAAATATAACATTAGTAAAACTACTTCTTTTTTTTTTTAACCAAGCAGGTACGTACAATTTAACATTTACCTTGGATTCACCCTTATGTAGAATTTATCAACAGGTTATTAGCTTATTAAGATTATTAATGTAATAATAAGAATATGGTCAACACTAAATGTTAAGGCTTCAAGATGCCTGAATAAAGATGAAATCTTTATAGAATCAATTAAGATTTAGGTAGACTTGAACCTTTTATCTTTTCTTGTGGAATTTATTTAGAGAAAAAAAAGGTAGTAAAAAACATAAAAGCAAGTTACCATAAGAACCATAACCAGTTTGTTGAGGTGGAGCCCCGTAGTTAGAGCCCCATTGAGGAGGCATCTGTTGCCCCTGAGGTCCGGGAGGAGCTCCCCAACCCTGGTAACCCCCTGGTCCAGACGGCGTACCATAACCTGAAATCAAATTAGCGATCAGTAAACCTGAATATAAAAATAAATCAAGGATACTTACTAATCACCATTGCTTTTGGTATCAATCGTGATATTTAAATACCATGAAATAAAACTGAATGAATAAAATCAAATAACAGTAAAAAATATTTTAAAAAAATTATTGAAAATAAAACAAGTAAATGTGCTTTACAGATTATTATGACTTGGCAATGTTATGAACTCTGCTTAATCTAGAGTAAGATGTATTTTTTTTACAACGCTTGATAAAAATAATACTGGATACATTCCACTATCCCTGATTGTTATGAGTAACGGATCAGGAGCTCTTACTTCCCTTCAGCTAACCAAGATCATATTCAGCTCAAGAGTGGGATTCATATCATCATTCTGTAGACTTTCAGAATTAAAATTTCATTCCAAAATAACAATTATGTATTGAAACTACTACACTGACAGTTGTTATATATATATATCTTAATTATAAATGCGACCAAATGAGGTGTGAAGGAAGTGATCTGCATATTTAGATTAATGAGGTTTAGCAGGTTTCTAAAAAAAGTGGTCGAGTTTTACTGTAGTTAAAAAAAAATATCGGTGGATTGTAAATTTAAAAAATCAGGAATTGATTTAACGCCAACTCAGGGTTTCAATGCCAGTTCAAATTTTTTGACAGACGACGGTGAATAGGTTGCGGAAAGTTATGTTCAAGGAAGGAACGTAGGAGTTTGGAAAAATAAAACAAATTTATTTAGAAAAAAACTAACAAAAATATCTATTAAGAAAAAATGTATCCAGGATACACAATACGGTTCTGCTTTTGAGTAGAAGCTTGTTAGGATATTCTGTTGGCGATCATTAGGATGACATGTACCAAAGAAACAGTAAAAAATATGGAGATGTTGAGGCTTGTTGATGTTCCAGGTGTGTAAATCAGAATGATATCAAAATACAACAAATCAGAATGAAAGCAGTGTTTTCAAATATAAAATATAAATTTACACCATAAAAATGTTGCAAAATATTGTACATCGTAAGCTATACATTTTTCCCACATTTAGTCCTCAAGCCATTTTCATAAGTAAAATGCTGCTGAGTACGTGCCTGACGCTTGTTGCAAATAAGTTGCGGCGGTATGTGCTATTTCCCAAATAAAATTTCCTCAATCGTTTTCTTCACTCAATGCTGGATTCAAATTGACCAGTTGCTGTTGATAGTCTTAACTGGCTCTCCAGATTAACTGGCGATAGTGGTAAAAAATAAAATTAACATCCTTAAAAGCACTTATAACTTTCTAAAAGCACTCAGATAAGAAAGAAACAACAGTACTTATTATATCCCTGTTGCATGCCTAGAATTGTCACCACTTTCAGGTCCCCAGTACTTGCCAATGGTAGTTCTGGTATTTGATGAATTTCAGAAAATTTTTCTTCAAATGGACAGCATGGCCAATAGGGATAGAGGGAAAGTAAATTGCCATTGTGTAACAGAACTGCGTTGAGAAATAGCTTTGATGAATCTATTAACAGCCTCTATTCAGAAGGGTTGTGATTAAAAATTTAATGCTGCCATCAGACCTGGGACATCACAACAGGCAAAAAGATCCTCATAATTTTTGAAAAATGGGATCAAGTGTAATCTTTACACCAGGTTGTAACAAGTTCCATTTCTTCAATCTTACACCCAAAAGTTCTGCTTCCTCTTTGGGCAGATCCAGGTCCCCAATCAAGTCACTGAGATCAGTTTGAATAAGCAAGTGGGGTTTTCGTTCTTCTTGTTCGAAAGAATAATCAGAGTTTGAAAATATGGGGTTCCTGCTAGGGGATTCTTCTCTTCATTATCCTCATCCTCGTTCAAGTCATAGTGTTCAGGAGGCCTTGGAACAGGCAATTCATTCCCGTGTGGTATTGGCCGTTTAGCAGAAGGAATGTTCTGGGTACTTCAATTCAGATTTCTTTTATCGAGACATTCCATGATGAAGAGGAGGGGTCATGCAAAAGTAGCAGCTGTCAGTGTGATTAGTAAGCTCCCTCCACACCATGGGAACAGCAAAACGATTTGAACGACCTTTCTTGTTCTACCATTCTCTTAAGATTATGCTATATGTGATGTGAGGGGCCCACAGTTTTTCTTGGGCACCAACATTCACCCCAAAATACCTGTGTGGTATGCTGTCTTATCATCTGAGTGATAGGACGTTTTTGACTAGCTAAGGTAACTTCCACAAATATAACAAAAGATGTCAGGAGCACTTACACTGGGCATTGTAACTTCACCAAAACTACTGAGTTATCACATACAAAATCGTTGAAAAAATGTCTGAAGTAAGAAAAATCATGTCAAGAGTAACTTGAAGTGTAAACACTGCGTACAAAATGGTTATGTGATTCTCAGCTAGTCGTTTCCCGCGATTCACAATAAAGTAACTATATCTTTAAAACTGGAGCTAATTGATGATTTTCATTTGGAAATTCGAATTTCTCACACCAAAAAAACATGGCATGAGGCTGTTTTCAAGGTAGATACAATATCAATGTAGAAGCAGTACAATTGACCCATCGTTAATATAAACTTGTTTGTAGCTCTCAAGGTTTGCCATGAATTCCATAAAAATTTCCCTCTGCTTACAGGACACCTATATAATGCATCCAGAGTGATTATTAAAAAGGAATCAAATTCCCTACTAATCATGCGAGCTAAGATACAGCCTATTAAATTTTGTACACTTATTTTGATTTGTTTTTAATAATGTACCCTTTGTAAATCTAGCCAAAGTTCGACCACTGGATTGGTAATTATTATTATATCTTCGTTGGCAATTATTATTTAATTTTGTTTGAGAGCGAGTATGCAAATAGACCTCTACCCAATCAATCTCAGGTTTGAGTCTGGATGTGGCAGATTATTTATTTATAATTGTATATCGATTATGGATGGACCAGCTCTTCTGGGAGTGTCCTTTCTATTTAAGTGTGTTCCATAAACGTGCCCTATTAAAATTTCAAAGTTCGTATAAGGTTTGGGCAAGCAGGAATCTGACATTACTTCATTTCTAGTTCAAATCAGTGTTGTTATTGTTTAAGATAACTGTTCATAATTCTTTTTTTTTTCTCGATGGATTGATCTAGCATTCACCAATTTAATATTAGTTACAAGTTTATTTAAAAAAAAAAAAAAACAGGCAATGATCAAACCTTTGAAATGGATAAAACGAATCCGGAAATGGTGTTTTATACCATCAATTTAAATTTAACACATTTTTGAAATTTTATAAAAAATGGCTCAGTTTGGATTAAACTTGTTATATGTTATATCAATATATAATCGGTACAATTTAATATGCAATAATATAATTTTGGAAAAATTGTGATGAATGTGTAAAGTTATATACATTCAGTACTTCTTTTTTTTTTTTTTAAGACAGATTCAATATTTGGTTCAGAAATGAATCAATAAATTCAGGTTTTTCATCTCCCAAAATTATTCGGTATGTTTATTCACTTGATCTTTCAATTACATTCAGGTACACAATCCAAATTAAAAAAAATAGGATTAAATGTTACATATCTTAATCACAAACTGAGAACTTAACGACATTTAACAAGTTAAATGTGTGAGTGCTTAGTGAAATATAAGATGTTAATGGTTTCAGGTATGAAATTATGTAAAATAAGTTTAAAAAAATTTATAAAAACATAAACTTAACTTCAAATAAAAAATAACTAACCAAAACTACTAAAGTGGGTTAATTAAAACACAATCTCAAGACTAGTAATTTAAATTTATTCATTTTTAGTCTATTAATCAAAATCAAAAGAACATGCTGACTGAACATGCAACTGAGGAAAAAGAGACACAAATGGAAAATATTAAGAGCATTATTTATTTAACGGATTAACAAAATCTTTCAGGACAGATAAAACACAAAAACAGAGGAATGCAAAACATGCATAGATAACACATTCCACCTATAGATCAATATGATTCATATTATTAAAGTATTAGGTGTTAAGAAGAAGTAATGAGGTGAAAAACAACATCTTGTTGGTAAGTAGAGTTCAACTAATTGGTAGAGTGCTAAATCAACTAAGGTTAACAATTTTAAAGATTAATTAAATAATTAATGTTAAAAAAAGTACGAAAGGAATATTAGATAAATTATAATCTAAACTAGTGATTTTCAAAGTGGGTGTCACAACAGCTAATAGTGTTGTAAGTTTTCTATAGAAATTTCAGAATAATTTAATTAAATATCAGATAATAAAAAAAAAAGTTGTAAAAACTATAAGTTTGTATGTTTTAATTCAATTTTATTTCTTTTATGTTAATTAAAAATAAATAAAAATAATCACTTTAGATCATTTTGATTTCCTGAAGTTGTCAAACAATGGATTAGGACAAAAAAAAAAAAAAATCTATCAAAAACAAACAGTTCAATAGTAAAAAAAGAATATTAAAAAAATTTGTACGTTGGACTTTGGATGTTTACTATAATGTTAAAATCAAGTGATAACTTGAAAAATATTGCTTGCTAGAGGGAGACAAAAAAGCATTGTATAGCTCAGCAGCTATACTATAGAGAGCAATTGAACCTTTTTTTTTAACAATGATCAGATATCTCAGTATTTGTGATGGCGACTTCAAATAATCAGAAATATATAACCTACTATTAGTCGGCCCTTACGAATAATTCACAAAGAATATTGGTCAGTAAAAAAATGACAGAATAATAACAAAAATAAAATAAATAGTTCAACGTATCATAAGATGAAAAAATCATTTCCTATTTTTTCAGTAATTGTAATCGATCAAGGAAAAAATAAATTATTATAAAACTTCCTTTATAAATTAAACTGAATTTCTAATCGACTTCATGATTTTTTTGTTTGTTTTGCAGAGAATTTAGTAATCTTTTTTGAATTATTCGCAAATAAATTTATTTTTCTTCGTAACTTTTGTTTCTAAATTTTTAGGATGATGTGACTACTTTTCCCACATGAAGGAGAACCTCGAAATGAGGGATTAATCATTGGATTTAATGAAGAATTGACAAATAAAACCAGTAAAGGACTCTTAATTTAAAAAATTTAAAGTTCCTATAATATTAAGATAAGGTAAATAATTATAAAATTTATATATATATGATTTGGTAAAGGAGTTCTTACTTACTATATGACATTTATATACCATTAGTTTTTAATGGTATCCGATACCCAACTTTAGTGAAGCAAGATTAATTTTTAAGAGATATTTAGGTTTAGATGTCAAAACATAATAGGCAATTACAATATAAATACCTAGTATTTTATTATTGATATGAAGCTATCAAAATTTTATCACCGACTCTCTTCTAATCATAAAATGATTCATGCAAGATTCATGCTACTGTCTATGTTTATTTCCTACCAAATAATTCATTCATACCGTTGTGAAGTTCTTGTTTTCTGATAAATGGTGCTGTATTCATTGTTTCATGATTTAGTTATACTCAAATATCATACCAGGCCAATATTGGAAATAAGAGTAGTAATATAATATTTATAATATACAGTTGGAAAGAAGGGATATAATAGAAATTTAAAATTATATTATATTAAATTTAAGATATAAAAAGTAATGGAGAGTTAAAGAAAGACTTCTATTATTATCAGCTCTACGATCCAGGAAGTTGAGTCTTGAGCCTGGTTTAACATTTATCGCCCAAGTTTTCTCTATCGAGTGCTGCTTCCTTCCAATATCAGACACTAAGTATAGCTTGGGGCATCTGAAGCAACACATACCTCCTTGTGAAGCTGTAGTCTGCCTTTGCAAAGAACTCTGAACATTTGTGCTCCTGAAACACTTCGGCAAGAATCTTTTTGTCACCCATCCCCATATGTCCAGCCCTGCGTAGCCTTCCTAGCTTGGTATGTGGGACTACGTCTTTGTACAATGTTTTTAGCTCAATGTTTGTCCTTCCCTTTTATATGCCGTTCTGAAAAAAGGGCACATACGTCTAAGAATTTTTCTTTCAAAACACAATAATGAAGATTCTGGAGCTTTAGCAAGAGTCCATGTTTCAGATGCACGAGTTAGGTATAGGTCTGATAACAGCTCCATAAATGTTTCTGTTGCCAAAAATAGCACCGGTTTGCGAGTACTATTCTCCTTTCGATTTCTGCACCAAATCATTTATTTTGTTTACCTGTGACCCAAGATATATAAACTCCTTAATCATTTATAAATTACCTGCCTGACACTATGGGATTCACATTAAGTATTTGGTTTTACTAAAGTTTAGCAGTAGCTCCATTTAAGCGGCAGCATTCTAATTCTTTAGTGCTATAAATGCAATCCAAACAGCCTCTAATGACCTTCCTGCGTATGTCGTCAGCGAATCCGAGGAGTTGTATGATATGGGGTTTAATAAGGTAGTAGATGTCTGAATCTCAGTATCTCTGATGGTCTTCTTGAGTCCCAGATTAAAAACCAGATAAGCCAGTACATCTCTCTCTGTTGTCCATCCATGCATGTCTGTAGAGAATTCAGTGAACCTATCGTTACATTCCTATATATTATGGGAGAACATATCGTTAAATTCCCTTTGTTTTTTCTAGAAGGATTCGAACGGTGAAAAAGACAATTGAATAATGATTGCAATTAATTTATACTATTATAATTTATAATACGTATAAATAAAAAATAAATGTCTTAAAGGAAACATTGAAAACATATTTTCAGCTTGACAAACCAAAAATATATACATATATGTATAGTGCACAAAATCGCCAAACTTTACATTAAATAAAATGCATTTGTATTTACAGTTTTGTTGATAAGAGGAGCTTGCATAATACCCCTTCCCTTCTAAGAGACTCACTTCTGCAGCAGACAAATCTCTTGGACTCCCCACCCTTACAGAAAGGTTTAACTATATAAATAGCCAAAACATCTTGAAAATGATTCTAGTAGAGAAATTTTATAGACTTGTATTCGATTATAGTCAACAGCCTTTCTTAGTTGGCACACAAAAAAACAAAAACAAAAAAAAATACACTAAAATTATAATTTTGAAATACCTTCAATCAATAAAAAACCCTGGTATAACATGTAATTTAAAACATGTCAAGCTAATGGAAAATTCGAATTCCCAACAGAAGTTTTATTGCTTTTAAAAACTGGAATTTTTCAAATCCTTACATTTTCTATTTAAATTCCTTTACAGGAGGCATGTGACAAACAAGTAAACCGTTTTTGTTATTGGAGGGTTGAGAAAAAATTTTCATTTAAGTTAAAAAAAATATAAGAGAATGTTCATCAGTTTATATAGCACTGAAAAACAAAAATTATTGTCTCGCACAACTACATTGTGTTTGTACAAAACCCTGATTAGGACAGTGTTTACATATGGATCTAAATGCTGAACTTTATAAAAAGCTCAGGAAAATCAACTCCTTTGATTTGAAAGTAAGTTATTAAAAAGAATTTTAGGAGCAACTTTTGATGCCCATGAGCTAGCCAGCCTGGCGACATAGTGCGCTTCATCAGGATTGGCCGGCTCAAGTGGGCTGGGCATGTGGCCAGGATGAATACCGACTCAATACCAAACAGGCTCCTCAAAGAAGAAATTCACCCCCTCAGAAAGCATGGACGGCCGAGGATGCGATGGGTGAATAAGGATACATGAGGAGAGTGGCGGCTCGGAATCAAGAATGACGGATCTTACTTCAGGCGGCCATGACCCCTCGCGGTTGTAGAGCCATGGAAGAAGAAACAACAATTCATTGCAATATAACGAATTCATTTAAATAAGTCATTTCTTCTTCTATTTCGGTTTTTCATTATGAATTAAAAAATAATCCATAAGAAGAATAAGAAAAAAAAATTTACAAGACAATATTGTTAAGTGGAAATGGATACATACTGCAAAACAAGTCTTACAACTACAACTATGAACTAATCAGTGTTTATCTTCATTAAAAGACGAAGGAATATGCACAAAATTCTACTATCTGAACCACTCTAAAACAAAAATCACTACCTCCTTATGGTTACGTTTAAGGAACACTTTACATCAATGGACTCATGTGCAAGTCGTATCATCCTCTATACAGGCATAAAATAAACTAATACGTAAGATATGGTCATGCATGCTATTATAAATAAATCAAAAGCATCAACTAATTAAAAATGCAAATAAAATGAAAATGCAAAATATAGAACGAGAAAGCCTGACCTACCATTCATAGGAGGTTGATTCGAAGGGCCCCATTGCCCTGAAATGACAAGATACAAAAAAAAAATAAAACCCCATTCTCTAAGTAGTCAGAAAATAATCATGGTCAATGAATAGAATATCTGAAAAATCTGTAGTCATCAAGACAAACATTACAAATAAAGAAGTGTACATTAATGATTCCACAAACTAACAATTAACAAATTTTGATATATACTTATCCAACATTCAGGCTTTAAAATAAACTAACCAAATAAAATGAATAGTAATGAATAAATTAATATACATTAAAAAAAAAAAATCCAATGACATGGAAAGAGAGACCAATGCTCCACATTGAGGTGTCAATACTGAATAAGAAACTACCATCTGCAGATAATAAATTCAAATTCGGGAGTTAAGGAACTTTAAAAAGCAAGTTAATATAAAAAGAATAGGTTATACGAGAGATGAAAAGATATAAATTGGCATAATAGAGATGAAAAGATATAAATTGGCATAATAACATTCTTTTGACCTCAATTAATGGCAATCGTGTTCATCGTATAAGGTATTACTATATTAAGATAGACAAGATCTTACCTGGATAACCGCTCTGGGGCGTCGATCCCCACCCTTGGTAGCCTTGCATCATGTTGCTAGGGCCCATCGGACCCATGCCTCCCATTGGGCCGCCCATTCCACCACTGGGGTTCCCCATCCCCATCCCCTAAAATAATAAACAACAGAAAAAAAAAATAAGTTAGACATTTGTATTCTTACAAAATGAACATTGTATTTAAACATAATTACATATCAGTGCATTAAAAATTCAACAGAAAAAATAAAATAACAAATGTAATACAGTCGACTCTAGACAATTAGAATCTCGGAAGCAAATAGAAAAACGTGAGTTATAAATTTATTATGACTAATATAGGTTGAGGTAATGAAGTCTGATACAGACCAAGGCAGTATTGCAAAGGAAAACGTTTAAAAAAAAAAATTAATTTGTATTTTAAATACACAAAATAAATTACAGAATTTAATAGGTTGCTTTAAATAATGTAGCAAGGCTGGTCGTTTTCAAGAGAATTATCCTATATGAAAACCAAGCTTACGGCATTTTTAAGGTAGATTGTGTTTAATTTATAATACAATCATCTTTGGCCATAAAATTTATTAGCTTTACAACAATTACTATAGAATCCAGTGTCTTATATTATGAAAGAGTAAGGAATTGGTTTTGCTAAAGTAACAAGTTAAAAAATAAAATGAACTGACCAACATATTTTCAGCAAAGAAAAAGGAAGGATATAATTTATATAATATCTATTTAAAAAGAAATGGTTTTAACAAATTCCATTTCATTTATTTTATGAGTATATTCACTACGTGCCTACTAATCTCATAACCCATTTCCATACCATAATAAACCTATTTTTAAAGGAATTAGTTGTTAAGCACTGCTTAATCTTAAATGCTTTTTTTTTTTTTTTTTTTTTGTACAAAATACTTGTCATTTTAGAATTTTTTAAGGGTCTGGTATGATAGAACCACTTATAAAGTGGTTATTTATAAACTGTTTTAAAGGTTGGATCATGGAACTCAAGTAGTAAATCAAAACTAGGAAATAGTGGGTCTCAATGTGAGAAGTTTTGACTCAACTTAATTTTATTATTACTTAAATTTTTTTACAGTAATAAAATCATTTTTAAAAAGAACTGGATAACTCAAAGAAGGCGTTTGGGAATACAGAAAATGGTCAACACCTTACCCCACCACCACTGGCAGTAAGTGCTTCTTTAGAAATTAATTTGTTTTCATTAAGCTATTTTGTTCGGATAGCTAATTCTTATAGATTTTTCAAAAATATTTATCAGTTACTCTGTATATAATTGTATCAGCATATGAATATTATTTTACAAGCGAGTAAAACTAAAAAAAAATGTGCGATAATTAATGGATAGTGGTACGGAATCCTGTTATCATTTTTGACAATTCTTTTTATACTTCTTATTTTAATCTTTTCTATTCTATAGGCTACAATAGTTATTATTAAATCACAGGTCAGTTACTGTCCCCAATACGAAATAAGGAGATTTCTGATGAAACATATCAATTCCTCATAAATAAGGAAAATGTTGAATACTTGTGGTTGACCGTGGTATATTATTGAGTAAGGAGATGCTCAGGGATGGCAAATCTTAAAAAGACTTAAGTAGTAAAAAAAACTATTTTGTTTAAAGCCAACGTTTCGATCTGACTTGGAAGTTTTTTCCAGAAGCGTAGTATGCAGTATGGAGTTTTGGTTGAAACTTTAGTTTTTCAACACTAAAAAGTTTTAAGTGTAAAAAATGTAGCCATTTTACTAATTGTGTTTTAGAATAACTGTGGATTACAACTTTTTCGAATGTCAAGAAAATTGTTAAATTTTCATGTTTTTTGTACAAAATGCTAATAACATCAAACATGTATTTTAGTAGTAAACGATAATTGTAAATGTATTAAAAAAAAAACCAAATACATTCAAGCTGTAATGATTACAATCATGATAACAAGAGATGACTCTAATTAAATTAACAAAAAATGTATTTTATTAAACTGTTCTCAATTAACTAAACAAACATCACAAACGGTTTTTTGCCCGTCATGGGGATTTAAGAAGTTATTTAGAAATGATTGTATTGGATAGCGAAATTCAAATTATATACAGTTAATGAAATGAAAAATTAATTTTATTCTGGGATTTAAGTCTCTTATGAATAACAACAGAGTTAAAAAATTATGTGTATTAGTCTATCATGAATTAATGCAAAACAGTACTTGTCAATTAACTGCTAACAGCAATTGTAATTAACGAAACAAGTAAATCTTACATGGTTGCACAAGTTTGAATATGAAGCAGGTGTGGGAATGGAGTTGTTAGCAGAAATTTGTGGACGAGGATTGACATATAGAGAAATGTAAGGAGTTCCAAAAAGAAGTAGCACAAATGACAAAGAACTTGCTCAAGAAAGTTTTTTTAATGGGTGGGAGGATATGTAATCAAAAGTTTGTGTGTGATCTAGTATTAGAACATAGGGAGGAATTTTGGTTTTAAGGACTTGGAAAAAGAAAACAGCAAAGAGGAATTGCTGTCAGGAAATAGGATAGAGCCACTTCTGTTCACAACTTAGTTTACCAGCAGGAAACATGAGAATGCCTTCATGTTTATATAGATATAGTTATATATTTTCTCAATACAAGTGTATTATTAATAATTAATAAAATATATATATATATATCTTATATCAACAACCAAATGACATTGTTTTTCTGATTATACAACTGAACTAATAATTTATAATCACTTATAAAATACTTCAAATATTAAAGAGAAAAGTGCGTTTAAAACAATAAATATAATGAAAATAAGGAAAACTTAGTATCAGAAATGGACACTTTCACCTATTAGTGGGGGAAGGGGGACAAGCAATCTGTTTACAAAGTACGTAAGTACTTAAACACCTTATCCAGTTCTTTTAAAAATTTATTCTACAATAACTAGTGAAGTTATAAAGACATTTGATTTATCAAGAGTCGACTAGTAGATTGCAGGAAAAATAAGAGTTCAACACGAAATCTAAAAAAAAAAAAAAATCTAATTTAGACAATACTTAAAGGTTCTTTACTCAGGACAGAGGAAAGAGAGCAAAATTTATTAGTCCATGGTACAGAATCCTTTTTATCGAATTAATAACATCCGCCTGAAACTTCGTAAACAGTTTCATCTTATCGTAACCTACAACTGTTTTATTTACGAAAACTATTGGAAATGGGGCATTTTCAATCTGGAGGAGGGCAAACTTTGTCTATTTAATTAGGTACTCAAAACTCGTAAATACCTATTTGCTTTCTACTTGGATTGTAATATAATTTGATCACAAAATCGATAAAAAAGGAGGCCTACAAAAATATTGGACCGTTTCTTCTATATAACCTTCTTATTTTGACAATTTGGGGGGTGTAGGTCACGCCAAACGACCCAATATTCTTGAAGGCCACCTTTTTTTCTTGATGTTTTGATCAAATTATCTTACGATTCAGGTGGTAAGCAAATGGTTATTTACGAGTTTTTAGTACCTGATTAGATAGACAAAGTTTATCCCTTCCAGACTGAAAATTCTCTAATTCCAAGAATTGTCATAAATAAAATATTTGCAGGTTATGATTGAAATTATTTACTAAGATTCAAGCGGATGTTAATCTATATATATATAAAAATGAATGTCTGTCTGTCCTTTATGCATTACTAAACCATTCATCCGATCGCCATGAAACTTTGGGAAGTTGTTCCGTACACTTTTGAGGTTTCTGGCATAGTACACTTCTGCTTACGATAATTTTATATATGTGAAAAAAATAAAAATGTAAACTTTTTTTGTTCAAAGCTGCAAAAAAATGTGTCGCTATAAACTGTAGCACCAAAACGGCTTTAACGAAACTTGGCTAAAGTCTTCCCCTTGAAACTGTTTTAATTTACGTCTATAACATACTTTCTCGAAAACAAGCTGAAAAAGTGTTATGATGAATTCAATATTTTATTTGCCGATAACTTAAAAAGTACACAATTTTTGATTGATAATGCCAATATTTATTTGCAAGATTCCTGAATTGCTGACAAAATAAAAAAAAATCATCGAAATAGGACGATACGTTGCACAGTTTTTAAACATTTACTGCTTTCTCTTCAAAAAAGTCCATTTCTTTTTTTGAAAATTAAACAATACATTAAATATAAAAAAATAATAATAATAAAATTAAATATGAAAATATATGAGTGGCTTGATATGAAAGGACAGATTTCTGTCATGTTTAGAAAGCAGAGATGAAGTCAATTTTAGTTTTATATGTTCAACTCAGACTGTTTCTGATAATTAAGAATGACGGCGTGTTCACTCAGATGATTACGAATGTTCATGTTGAATCATGAAAAATAAAATCATTAGAATTAGTTTTAATTGAAGCCATTTTACAGACAAATTAGTTTTCCAACTTTTTAAAAATGACAGATGTCTTTTGGTTTAAATCCACTCATCGGTGCTTTCTATTTTCTTTCTTTTCCATTTTGTCAGGCTATGCCACAGCAGCGCGTGGCCGGGTAAGGCTAGTAATTTGATAAAAAGAGGTCTGTGTACCACGGACTATACGCTAAATTGCATTAATTTTTCACTTAAATAATCATCAATCATTATTGATAAAATTTATAATTTTTTTAGTTTAATTAAAGTAAATAATTGATAATTAAAACAGACAATTAATTGATTGCATTTCAAAAGAGGGAGCGGGAAAAAAAAAGAAACTTACACCACCCATCCCCATGTGGCCACCCTGTTGTGGACCCCATGAGCTTCCTCCAGTGTTGTCATTCATTTTGTTGGAATCTCTTGGTTCAGCTTTTTTAATTTCCACCTGAAATCACCTTGACAATAGATTTTTCATAATGCAATAAACTTATTAACTAGTAATAAAGAAAATATCAACCACTTCTTCCTAAAGAAAAAAATTAGAAAAAGAAACCTATCGCTGTACTATCACATAAATAGCAAAAATTAAATCATCAATGTCTGTGTTAGTTTTACTTTTAAGAATAATAGAATGTACTAATATCTAAATATAAATCTAAACTAACAAATTATTTGAGTACCTTATCACCAATTACACTTATGTTATAGAAAAATATATATATAGATATATATAAGAAAAATTTTAAGAGCTAGTACATAGAAGTGAATATTTTTAGATAGTTTAATCTATACCAGTCTTTCAACATCACATAAAGTGTAATTATTTTTACAGGACAAAAACATAAAACAGTCTGCAGTGAAGGTTTGTGTCATACTTGTTCTAGACTAAAATGAATAACATCTGAAGGTATTTTAAAAAACACTAGATATAATCTAAGTTACTAAAAAATTTTTATAAGCAATACACTTCAGCATCTTATAAAACATAACACAATTAACTAACAAGCATTCATGATTATAAAACTAATTTATCAATTATCTAATATAATTTTGAAAATTAAGTAAAAAAAAATATATAAATAAGTATATCTTGTCACTTTCAATTTCATTTACAAGACATGGTAAGAAAAATATGTTAATTGCATAATACTAAGTTTGATTAATTGATAGTAATAATATTAAGTTAGAAACAATAAGTAATTACACATTGATTTTGCAACCATCTTACAACTATAAGTAACATAGATAAACTTATAAAATAAGTTACTAATTATTAAAGCTAATTATAAAGTAAAACTGTGGAATCTAAAATATTCCTTAAATTACAAATCAAAAATACTATGGGCTAAACTATTTTAAAAAATCTTTTAGAAAACTCTACATCGGAAAACAGTTGTATTCAATGTGTAAGTACAATATGGAGTCATAGAGAAGTGGCTGTAGAGAAAGAGTACCTGTTTGCCACTCAAATTGACGAAGTGCTCAGCAACACACCTTTCCACCGACTCTTCATCTTCAAATGACAAAAACCCAAAGCCTATAGACAGAAATAACAGATATCCGATGTGACGATTGTTTTCATTGTCGAGGTCGCCTCACTGCTGCCTACCTCACCGCCAAACACCTTGTCACTGTTCATTTTCTAGTAACTTTTAATTGAGAAGCAAATGTAAAACAAAACCAATAACTAACATTCCTCTTTCACTTCTCTTTTTTTTTTCTCCATCCTTTTTTCTTTTCACAAGGCATTCAACCAATACAATGTCCAACAGCTGTTTTTTTATTTTATTTTTTTTTTGTTATTTTTAATTACACCAAAATATATAGAAGCCTAAATAATTTTTTCATACTTATACACATAGAACATCACAAATATCTAAATTTAAATTAGCTATATAATATATTGGTATGAAAAAATAGTTATTATTTTTAATTTAGGTAATCTATAATTACAAACTTAACAGAACTACGATTAATGTTAATTTTAAATAAAATGTTCTAAAAAAAAAGTGATAAAAAATTAAAGGAACATAATTTTATAAAACTGAAATTCTTCAAAATGCATCAATTCTGTAATGCTTATTCAAATTCTCGATATATAAGCTAACTTCTTAAGCACTCAAAAATGTATTTTTAAACCTCAGCATTTCCTTATATCATCACACTTTAAAATTAAAAATGTAAAAAATCATGTAAGTAAAATTTGAAGTTCAGATAACAATAGTAGCTGTTTTTAGTTACAAAATTGATATTAAATAAACCATTATCAAAAAGCAATAACAAATTTCAGTAAAATATGTAAGGAAATGACTTCCGAAGAAGTTTAATAGATCATATTCATTATAGAATTTATCACTTAAATGTAGTACTATTAAATGGCTTTTAAGTGGAAAGAGCTTTTAGGAACGATAAACAACTAAGTTGTAAAAAATTGTGAATAAAAAATATAATACTATTATTTTTGAATGCTTAATATGCCTATAGAAAAAATAAACAAACATTTTGTAAATTAATGCATTTTTCAGATAAATAAATGTTCTGCTTATAAAAAGCTAAAATGGCCAGTTTCAGGGAAAATTTAGAGAAAAAAATGTCATTAGAGTAAAAAAATATAGTAAAATCAGACAAAAAATATGAAATTGAGACCCTAATGTAAGGGGAGGGGAATATTGTAAAGGTCAAATGCCATTTATTAAATATTAAGAAAAATAGTGTTAAAAAATAAGTCATTTAACTAGCATTTAAGTTTCTAATGCGAGGTTTAGAAATACATAAGAGAAAACATAATAATACATATTTAGTAAATATTTAAAAAGGGGCGTAACGAAAATAAATAAATAAATAATTAGTCAGGACCTAAGGGAAAAGGAGGAAAGATGGCAGCAGTGAGCATTCCAAAAATATTAACTTCTGATTAGGAACCTAAAATATAATATATATAAATAAATAAAAAAAAAGTTAGAATTCAATATAACGCTCCTCAATAGGTAAAAAATTCATGAATGTTTCATTGCGGCAAAATTCAGAAAAAAGCTTTATATTAAAAAAAAAAAATTAAAAAGCCTACCGCAATTAATGAAAAATTATTTTTATAAGTTAAGAACGAAAAAAAAAATATATATCAAAGATCTGAAAATTAACTGAAACAACTTTTTGAAATTATTAACAAAATGCAATTTTATTTATAAATTAATCAACTCATGTAAAGCAACATTCATCAAATAAGATGTGATAAAAAAAAAAAAAAATAGTAAACAAAAAATTAATAAATTTTAAAATGTGAATATAATTTTTATTTTGTATTGAACATTTTGAAATTATAAAAACCCTTACCAATAATTTATGTAAATTCTTCAATAATATGAATAATGGAAGAATAAAGTAGCTTGATATCATCCGGTTCATGTCAATTTCAGAACTTAATAACACAAAGTTACTTGATTTGGATTTTCAATTACAACTTATAAAGTTCCGGTAAGATGTATAAAAGAAATATACCCTTTCGATGTCCAATCAACTTACCTACTACTTCAAATTCAGATGGCCTTAACTACACATTAGACTCTGTGAATGACAATAATCTCATATTAAGTTTCATGAATATATCACAATCATTTTATATTTGGTTCACCACCCTTAAAACAGAAAAAGCTGACCTAATTGGTTAACATGATAAAAATGGTTTGTAGAGATGTGTGGTTGTCAGGGCTATGATTCTTTGAAATTATAAGAATGATTTTTTACCAGTCCATCTCATATCATGTTAGTCTGTTTTTAAATAATGTCCATAATCATAAATGACTAAAAAAAAATTATCATCAGGTAACGATTGGTTCCATAATAATAATAGACCAATAAATCATATTTTCAGCTAGAACCTGATTTATCAAGTGAATTAGCAGTACGCTTCTATCATTAAGGTGAGTGGGCTGTAGATTACTAATATGATACAGATATCAAAATCAGTAGATTTATTATAGTTTAAGTAAAAAAAAAAAAGTAAATAAAAAAATTGAGTTAAATGTTTTAAGGATTGAATTAATGAAGTATGCTGTATTTACAAAATTATTTTTAATGTAAGCTTAAAGTACATGACACCATTTATTTATGTTTAAATATTAACAAAAAAAAAATCACTATTATGTTTGATCCTCCAATGGAGAAATTATTGTATGTTTTAGCTTAAAAATTAACTAACTTTTTGTTGTAGATAAGAAATTGAATATCTTTTTTGTGAGAAATATTGGAGGTTTAAATATTTCTGGTATATTTTTATTTAAACCATAACAAAGTTACCAATTTTGATTTCTGATCATTATATTCATAATAAAAATTTAAAAAACGTCACCCTACACAACGACACCACAGAAGCAAATACAGTTATTTCCTTAGCTGATAAATGATAATATAATAATTAAAGAATTATCAAATAAGCGCCTACTTTTCTCCCTATTCTTTGATCGGAGAACATCTATCTAAAGCCATTTCATTCATGTTTTATGAAAGTAACAATTGAAAACAGGGTTGGAATACATTGTTTAGGAAATTAAAAAAGTTTAAAAAGTGATTTTTTGCATAGAAAAGTTAAGTACATCTAGAATTTCATATGCAAAATACATGAGCCAATATCTGAAGACATCCTGGGACGGTTGCAATTTAATAAGAGAAATATAAAACCTTTATTAGATATCAATAGGTTGTTTTAACTAGTCGAATAATAAAAAGGATCACCTAATAACTAAACAAGAACAAAATTATAGCAAAAATGGAAGGTTCCACATAAACTAATCCACAGAACCTGAAGGAAGGTAAGTTTAGAAATACCAGGAATGATCTGAAGATTTAACTGATAATTCTTCATAAAATAATAATCTGTAATCATGTTGACACCATTACACGCTTAACAGTTTAGTTAAGGAAAACAAAAACAAAGACCTCCAATGATTTTACTACACTATCACTAAAATTTGAACTGATCAACGCATAATTTATTTGAAGAAACAATGCTCTCTGAACTAGCGATTAACACAAAAATATGTTCATTAACAATTTTATGCAATGTTCATATTTACCTATTACATTCCTCATAAACTACCAAGATTATTCAATGTTTTAGGGGGAATAGAAACTATTTATCTTATTTGATCATAGAAATATAGAAAGCTTTGTCAAATTATAACAGATTGGACATCAACTTATCCAAGCATTATTGCTAGGTCTTCATAAGCCAAAAATAAAGGAGCATAGAAAATAAAAAAATAATGTAATAAATTAGGCACTTTCATCATACAACACTCACTTAATTGACTGATTGTTTCATGAAAATAATAATGTTTTTTTTCCATAAAAACGTTCAAAACTTTCACAAATCAAGAACAACCATTAATAAAAAATTATACCTCTCTACTATTAACCAAATGTTAATAGTCATCCTAATTAATTCAAAATAAAGTTCTCAACAAGAATCATAGTTTACTGATAATAATACAATTTAAAGGAACTATTAAAAATAACAATAATATAATGATTTTAAATTTAAGAAAGAAAATGGGGAGAAGTGAAAATAAAAAATAGATAACATTAATAATAAAACATTTCATTAGAAAAAAAAAAACCATTAAAATCAGAAAAATGAGAAATAACAGTTTCAAGACGGGCAGAGGGATATATACAACAGCAACATAGCATTGGGAGAAAGAAAAAAAAAAACATCCCACACAAAAATTTTAAGGTGGCTAAGCATATCAAACTCCTGCACAAAGAATTTAATTTAATAAGTTTCAAAATAAACAACACTACTCCTCTAATACGCCTAAACTTAGAAAAACAGTTTTTGTTTTCAATAATATAAAGAACAGAATGTACTATATATAAGTTTACAAAAAAATAATGTAATTGGTTAATCCTTTAAACATATTGCAGGAATTAAAAACAAAATATGAGCTTCTTATGTAATGATCGTGGAACATTATTATTAATAAATATAATTTAGCACCTTTTATAAACCGATTATAACTTTTAAACAGTAAATAAATTATAATTAATAATTACTTTATATTTTAGATGCTCTACCAGGACTTTCAATAAATATAAATATCTTCAAATATAATAATAATTCGTTAAATGATAGTAAACCCATTAGCTATTGGCACAAAAAATAAAGGCAATAATGTTTTAGAACTTTTCAAATTAATCACATGCCAAAAATCTATTTTTTTGCTTAACAACAAAAATTGGAACAAAAACAAAGACTAACAATGAAATAAAATTAAAGTGAAATTCTAGCCAATCAAGTGTAACATCTTATACAATATAACACAATCACACATATAAAAATAATTAAATACAAAATAAGTAATTAAATCTTTAAAAAGATACTAAAGATGTAAGTAGATGTAGAAGTTCATAAAACAATAGAATAAAATAAATGTATCTTAAAAAATTAGTAGAACACTAAGCTGGTAAGTATAAAGATACTAGAAACTATGTTTATTGTAGGTGTTTATAACTTTTTTATCTGTTCACTCAAAAAGTCACTTGACTTGTATGTTAGTAATTTTTTCTTAAATAAAAATACCTTTTGCTATACAAAGTTTTGAAAGTTATAATCAGTTACAGAAAAATGTTAAAAGTTCAATATGTTCTTTAAAAAATAGGGACAAGTATCTTAAATAAAAACTGATAAATTAGAGATAAGACTTTCAGATTGTAATTTATCATTGCTATGAAGAAAAATATCAGCAAAAGGAAAAATTAATCTTAGGAATGAAAACGTGTGAAGGGGAGGAAAAACAAAATGTGATGAACCTAACAGTAACTAATAACGACATTAATGCTAACATAAAAAGTCATCAAGGCTTAAGTTTAATGGGGATAACATGAAAAAACACAAAGATTATAAAATAAAAACAGTTAAGTACCAATAGAAAAATAATCTTAATTCTAAACATTGCTCTTTCTAAAAGCACAGTATTTTTGAAATAATTAAGTAGCTCTAATAATTAAACCAACTATAAGAAAATAGCCTTATATAAGATTGATGATCGCCTTTTTACATTTTTAAATGTATTATTTAGGATGAATAAAATATATATAAAAAAGGAAGTATAAGGAATATTTCAACTTAAATCAGACCAATGTAAATCATATGATTAGGCGATAAGAGAAAAAATAACACAACAAATAAAATTTTCATCGCTGAAAGCAACACTACTTAAAAAAATAAAATTCAATTGGATACAACTTAGAATTAAAATGAACTGCAAACACCAAAAAGAAAAATAACCTATACAACCCTTGAAGAAAATATTGTTAAAAAAGATGATCACGAAAACGTTGATTTTAACAGGTCTTTCACAAAAACTAAGGCATAGTAGTTTTAACCATAGCTATATCCAAAATTTTCACTGAATGTACGCTAAGAAGTCATACACTTACTTAATACAAAACAAAAAACATACCTCTAGATTTCTTTTTCTCTTGGTCATACATTATAACTACTTCCATTACTTTGCCGAACCTAGCAAAGTATGTCCTTAGGTCAGTTTCTGTTACATTGCTTGGGAGACCACCAAGAAACACTTTGGGGTAGCTTGAACTCCTCTTGGGTTTCTGTAGTGTCCGTGGATTACAAGGCTTTGGATCAATCTGGATAGAAATGCAACAATTAAAAAACACAATCCATTAAAAATTATCAACACTGCAGACTAGAAAATTCAATTTAATTTAACAACTTACTGTACGGCCATCTAATTGATGTGGTCCATTTTGAAGAACTAAAGATACATTTTCAGGATCAGAAAATGTAACAAAACCAAAACCTCTTGATCGGCCGCTTTCACTATTTTTCATTACCACACAGTCAATAACTTCGCCATATCGACTGAAATAGCGCTGTAGGTTTTCTTCAGAAAAAAAAAAAAAATTAGAAAACGATACCGTTGGGTAATAACAAATAAATTGAAGAAGCAAAGCATGCACAATATGGAAAATTAGATTTATAAGTCCTACCTTGAGTGGTTTCCCAACTAAGGCCACCAACAAAAAGTTTGCTGTAATAAAATACATAAAAGATTAGAGAAAATACATTTTACATATGTTAGGCAAAATTGTGGTAAGATAAAAATATTAAGGTTATCTTGATAAAAGAAAATTAATAGATATTAGATGCCTTAACACTGACTAAAAAAAAAAAAAATGTTTTCCAGAACAATAGTATAGAAAGTTTACAATGGATCCCAGTTTGTTTTGGAAAGAAAGTTTACAAACACAACTTACCAAAATTGAACTACCTTATTCTAACAAGTGAACCTTCCAATAATACCTTCCTAGTAAATATTCCCTCCTTAAAAATATCAAATGAAAATTTCTACCGTTAAAAAAGTTGACTCATTTAATTAGGACACGTGGATAACGCGATTTTTATAAAAATGATAAAAAATAAAGATTACAAACAAAAAATCAAATATAATGCCCAAATTAATCGTTAAATTGCGATCAAACATAACCAGCACAAAATACACTTTAATATTATTCTGAGAAAAGTGGATTTCATCCAATATGGCTAAATAGAAGCAAGCTTCACACCAATGCCGAACTTCATAACTTAAGTAAAAGTTCGTTAGGGGTAACTATTAATATAAAATTTCTATGAGAATTAACTTACCCTTGCTCATCCTCGTCCATATCATTCTTCACACGCATTCTTAACAAAAAAAATCGCCCGCCGCGAGTTTTAGCAGCACTCCCAAAACTTATGTGTACAGCTTCTTACTGCAATGGCTGCCGTTCGATGTGAAACTGTGACAGCCCGGGAATAAGCATGCGCAAACATCGTGGTTTATTAATACAGAAATAAAATTATTTTATTATAATTAATAATGAAATAAAAAGAAATTACCAATACCCGACAATCGTTGACTAAATGACTTGATAACAGCAGACTGGTAATTGGGAAATATTGTCTATACAGAAGGCTTTAATTTATTCTCAGCTGGGTCAGACGAAAAAAACGTTTTGGTAAATGAGGTTTGGAATTCAGAAAATGACAATTTTTCTGTTTGTTGTTTTTGTTTTCCAATACATATACACATATATATATTTTTTCAAATATAACCAAAAGCTACTTTTATCTGTATAAAAACATTGTAGTTGTTAATGCTCGGAATAGATGTGGTAGGAGTGGCTTCATAAGTTTATAACGGTTTTATTTGAATGTTTTAAATAAATATAATGACATATTTTTTGTTTATTAGTAAAAATATTTATGAATATACTATTACTGGCGAGAAATAAATTCTCTAATTATAAGAATAAACAGTAATATAAATTCTAATTGCGTTGGAGTATGAGGTGTTAAAAAAAAAAAAAAAAAACACTTTAAAAATCTGATTTCAACAACAAATAAGTAATGCCTAGCTATATTAAAATAAATTACACCATAATAATCGAAGAATTCGTCAGAAGTAATTTTTAAAATAGTTATATTACACAAAATACTCAAATTAACGAATATTAAAAATGCAACAAAGTATTCTGGTTGTTAAAATATGCTAAAGTAAAATATTTTTTCTCTATGAATATCTTATATGGATAATTAACTATGGATAATTAACTGCTATTATGGACTAGAAAAAAAAATTAATTCATAGTAAATTATTTCTTAATAATTATAACAAGCCGACTGGGGTATAAAATATAACTACTATATATATAGTAGAAGTGCCAATATATTTTAAACATTAGAAATTAGGAATTTCTACAATGAATGCCTAGTGAAATTTTATCCCCAGCGCTTACCACCAATGTGACGCCCGCCACTTTTGTGTAATAGTGATTGGGTAGAATTTTCGAATAGTTTTTGAATCATCTCACACGCAAGATGTAACGCATCCTTTTGAATGTACCTCTATCATTTTAAAGAACAATAAAAAGATTATCATAGAAAAAGAATTTGAATGATTTCAAATTACGAGCGGTAATTATTCTATTCACTTAATTATTCTATTTACTTCGAAAAAAAAAAAATGTAGTCCTGATAGCAGAGACTGAAATTAAGTTAATATAAGATATATGAAACATGCAAATAAAAAATGAAAGTTAAGCTACAAAGGAATGAGGATGGTTAAAAAATGAAACTTGAGTTGCTCTAAATTAAGTCGGCGTGGAAAAATTTAATTTTTACTGTCAATTTAAATTTTTGTTGAGCTTTATTATGATGTCACTTCCGAGTCAAGGTTTATAGTTGCTGACATGTGTAAGTACTCCATTACTTGGCCATTATGCACTATGACATAATCTTCAGAATTCAGACAGCTGTATAGCAACGTTTATTTCGTTGGAGTAATGGTTTTACTCTTAAAAATCCCAGCTTAACAATCAGGCTTCATAAAAGGGATTTTAAAAAATAATTAAAGCAGTTATGATTTTAATAATCGATATCATTGATATGCAAAATGCAGGGGGGTCATATATTCAATAATAACATTATGTCGTGTGTGGGTTACAAGATGTACCTTTTACGGTTATTTTATTTTTTTAACACCTCCATATAAATTTCTATAAAAAAACTTCGAACGAACATAGCTACACTCGAAAATTTTTATAATTCTTTCTATAGTGTAAACATGTGAGCTTGTTACCAGCCGACACCTTAACGGTGTTAACAATTTTTGCATAATCACAGAAAAAGGCTTTAGAACTGTTACTTATCTTTAGTTTATTTTATTTTATGTTTTCTGTATATATGGTGTGAATGTGTTCATCCCTCACTATAATAATTGTCCACGTGACTGATTACTATATTTTTAAATAAATAAAAAAAAGAACTATTACAATTATTATAAACCTATTTTATTCGTTATTCAATTATTTTTACTTCAATCTATTATTTATCGTTAGAAGTTCATCATGAAAACGATAAAAGAACCAGAATTGATGGTTTATGATCACAAGCGGACGGTGAACTAAAATACTGATCAAAATCTAGTTCAAAATAGGAAATTAGTAAAGTACCTAAAGTACTTCAAACGTGCTAGCTTGTAAAAATTACACTGTTGCCACATCAAAGCAGCTGTAAACGAAATGTATAAGTTCGGAACAGTTCCGCGATCTATACAAATTTATCATAATTAGAGAATCAAGAAAATCACCTGTTATTTATTTCAATGGCATCTGTTAATATTGAAACAAACTTATTATTGTTAAGATTAACAATACTTAATCCGCAGTATAGGAGAAATTAGGTTTAAAATCTTCTACAATTGCTATTCATAGCGAAGAAACATACTTTTTAAGACTGTTGATGCAAACATGAACGCCATTTTGTTTTTAACCTATCGGAGTCATTATTCCGCGTGGACGTATTGAATTAACGTTGGCGCCGGCAACTGGGAGGCAAGGCACTTTCTGGCCCCTCACCTCTCTATCATTTATGTAGAGGACCAGATTTTCATTGGCTTTTCAATATTTATCAGTCGTTTCCTTAAAAAATAACTCATAAAATATATCAATAAACCATAAAAATAACAATTATATTATATCACAGGTAATAAACTGTTCCATTTTTTTCTGGTTGAGTCCAAAGAATGACGGATTCAGTTCAGCTAGGACTATAACTACTGGTGCATGGTACCATTTCACAACATAATAAAAATAATAAGCACATAAAATTTATTTGATCTAAAGATTTAATCAACAGTAAAAGATACTGTTGGATATATTGTGTATATATATATATATATATTATATATAATATATATATATATATATATATATATAAACGATAATTAATTTGGAAAAAATAAATAAACTATCTTTAAGAAAAGGTGTTTAAGTAGTTCTAGAAGTCCTATTAAATATAATTACAGGAACCTTTAGAGATAATTTCTTAATATTTTTTTTATAAATCATGGTTATATTTTACCATTTTTGGGAAGAGGTAGGAAAGGCTTACGGCCGAAAGTCAGGGCTGAAAATTATTCTAATTGGTTAAATTACACATTGGTATAGGATTTAATGTTGAAAGATTAGTTACTTTAGTATTAGTAATAATCTCATTTTTTATTCCAAATCAATTTACTACAACTACCAATAAAATTTTCAGTAAAAAAAAAATAATTGCAACGGATTAAAACACTTCAAAATAAGTGAAAAAATCTCTAAAAAGAGAGAGATTTAAAATATTTTGGAAAACTTTTAAGTACCTTAAATATTAAAATTAAAATTAATTAATTACTTCAGGGGGAAAAAAATAGCACCCGAGTGAGAAATGCTTAATCAAAAATATTGGAACTATTTCACTAAAATTAAAAATATAAATATAACTGTGACCTACCAGTTGAAAATTCCTTGTTCATTATCTCGTCATTTTGTTTGAAACGATTTTAGATTTGAGTAAAACATCTGTAATTTAAGTGTAATGCTGGAAGTTTCCATGGAAACAACACGGCTAGAGTATTTTTCCTACAATTTGTTTCCAAATATTATTCGAGGATTATGTGTTGAAAAAAATCGGTGTTTATTTATTTAGTTACTAAGGAAAATAATAATATATTTATTTCGTACATGATTATTTTAATCCACAAATGGAACGTAAATAAATATTGATCTTGTAAGTCACTTCATTCATTCAGTAGTACGGGAATACATGTTATGATAGTTATTAGTATTTTGTTTTCTAATTCGCAAACATTAAATCCAAAACATAACCTTCAGTTTCGTAAATAATACTGAATCACTACACCATTCAACTTTTCTTTAATTCAAACATCATCAGGGCTGAAAAACACAATAAATCCTGAACGAAGATAGTACATCTTACTTCAACAGCCTAAACAGCTCTAACCAATTGTTTTTATTATGTCCCTCTAAAAACATATTTTCAACTCTTTATTAGTTATTTTGCAACGTTATAAGACTCGAGGCAGTGTTTTGGAATAAATAATAACTTTAGTATCCTCTTCAGTTTTTACTCATATTAATTCTTTAAATCATGAAGTACAATCCAAAATCCTTCGTTAAATCCTCAATGCCCCTTACTTTGTCATAAATAAAATCATCCATAACGACCTTAACGTACCATATGTTTCCGATTTAGCGCAATCTAGATACCTATCCTTCCATAATAAACTTCTTATTCCGAACCCTCTCGTTTCCAATCTTCATTCCTCTTCTATTCCTGATAACCTTCCGAGGCGTCTGAAAAGAAGACGGCCTCGAGACCTTCTAATATAGAACTTTAATTTGAGTTCTACCAATGGGTAGTTTCTCTTCATGTTGTACATGTCATGTTATCAATGTCACATTTACTTGTTGTATTTTTCATGTAATACAGTTGTAAATTTCATATATATATATACAGTTGTATATATATATATATATCTCAAGAAGCAATCTTGCAAAATAATTACTGAAGATTATTTTCTCTTATTTCAAGCAGAAAAATGAACCCAGGATGCCATCCTGGCAGAGAATCACTTCTTAGCAATAAAAAAAAGTTGAACGATCATTTTTAGCTATTAATAAAACAACTGAATTAGAGACTGATTGAATGAAATAAAATTCAAACATCACTTAATATAAAACAATTTAAGGATTAAATTAAATTTTTTGGGGGTGATGACATCATTGTTCGGGGGCGCCAAATTTCTAAAACCGGTAATGCTCTGCTTCTAAAGACGTGTAGACAGATTTCCCAAACCATG